CTGGCAAGCTACCCGTGATGTATTCGATATGCCAGACACAGTAACAACAAAGTCTCCAATGGAGACATTACTGGGCCCGCTCGAGCAAATCAATGAACAATGGGAGGGCCTTTACAGTCCGGTATCCCTGATGAACACGGATGCGAAGATCCTCAAAAAATAGTAGCAAATAGTATTCAACAACTGATCAAAAAGATCATACGTCATGACCAAGAGGGATTCATCCCGGGAAAAAAGGATGGTTTTGACATTCAGAAATCAATCAACAATCCATCCTATGAGCAAAAGAAAAGATAAACACCATATGGTCATATCAACAGAGGCAAAGAAAGCATTTGACAAGATCCAGCTTCCGTTTGTGTGGAAAATCCTCGCCAAAATGGGCATATAGGGGACTTTCCTCAATATAATTAAAGCCATATAACACAAGCCTACAGCAAGCATCATCCTCAGTGGGGAAAAACTAAGAGCCTTCCCTCTAAGAACAGGGACGAAACAAGGATGCCCACTCTCTTCAGTGCTGTTCAATATAGTACTGGAAGTACTTGTAATAGCGATTAGGCAAGAAAAAGATATTAAGAGCATTCAGGTAGGAAAAGAAGAAATCAAGCTCTCACTATTTGCAGATGATATGATACTATACTTAGAGAGCCCTAAAACCTTTACCAAGAAACTCCTAAAAACAATTGACTTGCATAGTAAAGTTGCAGGCTATAAAATCAATACCCAAATGTCCATGGCTTTCCTATATGCAAATAGTGAGAGAGAAGAAAGTGACATGAAAAAAATCCATTCACAATTGTGACCCAGAAAATCAAGTACCTAGGAAACAGCTTAACTAAGGAATTGAAAAACCTGTACAAAGAAATCTCAAAACGCTACTTCAGGAAATAAAAGAGAACATGAGAAAAAGGAAAGATATCCCCTGCTCATGGATAGGGATAATTAAAATTTTCAAAATGGCAATAATTTCCAAAGCATTGTACAAATTCAGTGTGACCCCCATAATGATACCCATGACATTCTTCAAAGAAATGGAGAAAACAATCCTGAAATTTATATGGAAAAATAAGCCCCCACCAATAGCTAAAGCAATTCTTGGGAAAAAGAAAATTGGAGGAATCAACATCCATAAACTTCACACTCTCCTACAAAACAGTAATAATTAAAACAGCATGGTAGTGGACCAAAGGCATAGCTGCAGACCAATGGAACAGGGTCGAATATACTGACATACCCCCTAAAGAATATGATCATCTAATCTTCGATAAGGGGGCAAGAAATGTGAAGAGGAGAAAGTGAAGCCTTTTTAACAAATTGGGCTTGCAAAACTGGATAGCTACATGCAAAAAAGTGGGCTCAGATCTGTCCCTAACATCAAGTACAAAAGTAAGATCAAAATGGGTTAAAGACCTCAACATCAGACCGGAATCCATAAGGTACATTGAAGACAAGCTTGGCAAAACCCTTAATGACATTGAAGCTAATGGTAACTTCAAAGTTGACATGCCACTAGCCAAGCAACTGAAAACAGAGATAGACAAATGGGACTATCCTAAACTAAGACGCTTCTGCAACTCAAAAGAAACAGTGACCAAACTACAAAGACAGTGTACAGAATGGGAAACTATATTCTCCCATTACCCATCCGACAAGGGGTTGATATCAACAATATACAAAGTACTGGTTGAACTCCACAAGAAAACATCCAACCCCATCATACAATGGGGCGACAAAATGAACAGAACCTTTCACAAAGAAGAAATCCGAATGGCAAAAAGGCACATGAGAAAATGCTCTACATCACTAATCATCAGGGAGATGCCGATCAAAACAACAATCACATATCATCTCACACCACAGAGACTGGCCAACATCCAAAAGAACAAAAGCAACCGATTGGCCGATTGTTTCAGCCCTATTGGAAAACAGTATGGACGATCCTCAAAAAGTTCGAAATTGAGCTCCCGTTTGACCCAGCAATACCACTCCTGGGAATATAGCCCGGAGAGGCAAAAAAAGTATAGTCGAAATGACATCTGCACTTGTATGTTCATTGCTGCACTGTTCACAATAACCAAAATCTGGAAAAACCCCGAGTGCCCGAGAATAGATGACTAGTTCAAGAAACTTTGGTACATATACACAATGGAGTACTATGTAGCTGTTAGAAAAGATGAAGTAATGAAATTTATATACAAGTGGTACTACATGGAAAGTATCATGCTAATTGAAATGAGTCAGAAAGAGAGGGACAGACATAGGAAGATTTCATACATATGGGGAATATAAAGTAACAAAATAGGAGACTAACATCCAAGATTAGCCGAGATAAGTACGAAGCGGTTCATTCCATGGCTTGGAGGTCAGCCGTAGATGCTAGGGTAAAGGTAGCTCAGATAGAGAAGGGTGTCCCAAGTAAATGGTGTTGGGAGGATCCTCCCAAGACGGGAAATGCATGCTGAAAGTAGATTCAAGACAGAACATAATTGCCACTCAATGCCTCTTTTGCAAACCACAGAACCCAAAAGGAGAGAGAGAACAAAAGGAGTGCCCTGACACAGAGCCCTGGTGGAATGGGCGGGATGGGGGGAGGGTGGAAGGGATACTGGGTCAGTGGTGGTGGAGACTGAGCACGGATGAAAGGATGGGTACTCGATCATTGTATAACTGAAACCCAAGCACAAAAATTTGTAAGTCTACAACTGTGTCTCATGGTGTTTCATGAATAAACATTTTTTTAAAAAGATGAAAGATCAATAGAAAGAAAATTACTCAACTACAAACAGAAATAAGAGGACACGATGAAATGGAAACCTATTACTTATTCATGGAACAAGAGGACTACCATCGACAAAACAGCAAATTTCCCCAAAGCATTACAGACATTCAATGCTATTACTAGAAAAATGCCTATGACGTCTTTGAAAGAGATAGATCGAGCACTCTTGAACATTCTATGGAATATTCAACCACCACAAATATCTAAGGTAATCCTAGGAAAAGGGAAGATGGGAGGTATTACTCTCCTCCAAATTTATATTATACGACAAAGCTGTAGTAATTTCAACAGCATGGCACTGGATTGAGGACAGATTCTCAGAACACTGGGACAGAACAGACAATGCAGACACAGGTAAATGGACTGCTCACTTTCATAAAGGAGAAAAGAATACAAAGTGGTGCAAGGAAGATGTCTTCAACAGACAGTATCGCGAAAACCGGTTGCTCATGTGGAAAATGAGCTCAGACCCCTTTCTAACACCGTACACAAAAGTCAAATAAAAATGTATTAAAGACCTCCCTATCAGGCCTGATTCCATTGAGGAAAACGTAGGCTGTATTCTCCCTGACATTGTAGCTAGAGGCCTCTTTAAGGAGTTAATGCCATAAGCCAAGCAAACGAGGATCAGGAAAAGAGGCAGGGAGTGGTAATGCAGCCGAAAAAGTGTTCACCGAGCATGAAGCCGACCCACGTTCCACCCCCAGCATCCCATGTGGTCCTCCCAACACCTCCAGCAGTAATTACTGTGTGCAGAGCCGGGAGTAACCCTTGAGCATAGCCGGGTGTGGCTCAAAAATAAAGCAACCAAAATTTCTTTGAAAAAGAAACAAAGATTAAATAAATAAGAGTACATTAATAGAAGAAGCTTCTGAAACTACTGCCTCAAAAATATTAGTGACCAAAATACAAAGACATCCCATAGACTTGGAGAAATTACTTGCCCATCACTCAATCTCATAAAAGGCTTATACCCAAAGTTTACAAAATACTAAATACTGATGGTACTATACCCCCAACATGGGAGAAATGCTGAAACCCATCAAGAATGGGGGTGGGGGGAGATGAAAAATCGTTTCTCAAAGAAGACATACAAATGGCTGAAAAGCATATGGGAAAATGGTCTACAGAACTAGTCATCAGGGAAATTCAAATCAAAAGAACAGTCAGATATCACCTTAGAACGCAAAGGCTGTAAACAACAACAACCACAACAACAACCACTCAAAACAAGAGCAAGCGGTGTTGACACCCATGTGGTATAAAAGGGATACCCATACACGGCTGCCAGGAGAGTAGACTGCTCTGACCTTCCATGGACACTCCTCAGGAAAGTAGGAACTGAGCTTCCATCTGACCCAGCAACTCCACTCGTTGGACTCTACTCTTGCCCAAAAATACTATGGAGAAAAGATGGTTGCAGCCCTACATCCCTTGGAGAAACATTCAAAATAGCCCCGAATGTGGAAACAACCCAAGTGTCCTGGAATAGACTACCGGATAAACAGTGCAGATACATAATGGATCATTACTCGGTCATCGAAAAGATAAAAGCACACACTCTGCTGCTTCGTGGATGGATCTGCAAGGTATCATGCTGAGTGCAGTTAATGAGAGGGCAAGAGCCTGACGCAGAACGATCTCTCATTTGCAGGGTATAACGAACCATGACAGTGAAATAACAAATGCTCACAAGCAACAGAGAGGAAGAACATGAGATCTGCTCTCCAGTAGGAAGCATGACACTTGAGAGGATTGGACAGGGGGGAGAACACTATCACGGCAGTGGGAGGATGGAAGTGTCCAAGTGGGTGATAGAGGGGGGGGTGGCCGCTGGGAGGGAGCAAAGTGTTCTGCACGAAACCCTATTGGCAATAGTACTGAAAAGCAGAGTGCAAAGTTCCTCAAAACTACCTCCGCATGGAGAAGATCAAACACCTTTTGGAACCCCGGGCACAACACGTTCCTCTATATTTAGAAGAGCAACTGGGGCCCCTGCCCTTGCCCACACTTGGGCAGGGCTCTGGGCGCGGGTTGGCTGCGGGCCCCTTAATGACGTCCCGCTGACGAAAAAGAAGGTGGTGACGTGGCGTTCTGGTTGCCCTGACAGCGTCGAATCTCGAGAGGACACACATTGGGCACTTGGGCTCAAGCAAGGAGAGGCTGGTGCCACCAGCGAGGCGTGAGATAGGCAATGCCGCTGATCTAGATTAGCCAGATGGCCAGTGAGGGAGAGGAAGAAGCGCTCGGCGCTGAGCTGGTAACCTGCTGTGACGGGGGGCCAGCCAGCGGCCAGCCAGCCCACCGCATCCTGGCACCTGATGGACCTTTCCAGGAGACCCGGGATGCGAGTGGGTACCGGATCTTGCCGGGGCTGGGAAGCAGTGCGGTTCCACCCGAACAGACGCGGGAGCGTGGCGAAGAGGGCGGCGACGGAGGCGTCCCCAAAGAAGGGGCAGCTGAAGAAGGTCCAGCACCACGCGCCCCCAGCCCAGTCGCGGACCCTCCTGAAGGCCGAGACGACGACATCCGCGCCCTCCCGTTCTCGGTCAGGCTCCGGACGGTCGTGGAGGACCAGTCCTTCAAGACCATTTACTGGAGCAGAGACGGAGAGAGCATCATCATCCAAGCGAACTTCTTCAAGTCCGAAGTGCTGGGCCACAAGGACAACCAGCGCATCTTCGGAACTGACAGCCTGAGGAAGTTCGTGCGCCTGCTGAACCTGCACGGCTTCCGGAAGCTCCACTTCAAGAGCGCCTGTCTCAGCTCGGCCCGGAACAGAGTGATTGTGAGTACCTCCTGGGCCCACGGGCGCGGCGTGGGCGGGAACTGCAGCCCTTGGAGGAGCGAGCCACTAAGGGCCCGGATGCTCGGCTCCAAGAACTGCACGCGCGTCCTCAAATATACCACAGTGCTTCACGGCACACAGGGATGGGAGCTTTGGACACGGGGAATTGTTTTGGCTTCCCAAAACGACTTTGGGAGACAATTTGGCTAGGAAACCATAGAAACCAAGAAACAGAACGTTGTGGTAGTAAGAGAATGTGAAGGATTTTAAGACGCTGCACAATATGATTGATGTGTCAAAGTAAATTCATTCATATGATTATTCATTATTGACGTCTAGGTCTCTTTGTCTAGTACTGAAATCTAATCACAGGGAACATTGAACGGAATTTAAACGAAATTACATTGTGGATTTTATCGTAATTTAATTGTATTATAGGTATAACTTATGGTTCATTATCAGAAATTCTATTCCTGTAAATGTGAGCAGTCAAAGTAGAGATATGGGAAAATAGAAATAGTACCTTAAAGGTAACTAATTTACAGCGATGTGCATATTGTTTGATTTATAATGGAATTCAATGAGTAAATTGATGTCATTACATTTGTTTCAATTGCAATATAGATGGAAATAATAAATGATTATTTGTTACATTAAATTATGTGAGTTGACCATGAATAATTAAACATAAGATTATATCAATTGTAATTTTATAGTAAGATAAATTAATTTATATTGATATTCACATCAATTATTTATTTCTACATAATTAAACAGTATACATAATTATCTTTATGCTTATATTAATGTTCAATATTAATTGGTATTTGTATTTAAAACGTAAACGATAAATAAATTTAGTTTTAACACAAGATTGATTAAACCATTCATAATCTATCAAATTAAATTAATTTCTTTTCACAAATCTATTAATTAAAAATTAAAATTACTCCAATGAAATGGAATTAATATGTTATAATGAATTAATTTCTATTAACGTAAATGTTAATTTCTATATGAATATGAAAACGAATTCTATTTAATCTTTAAATACAAATTAATATTTACATTCATAGAAAGTTCTTTTTATATGGTAATCGTATTTCATATTATTTTAAAATTATCAATTAACAGTTTTGATAGCATAATTTAAATTGATAAATTATAAATTGGTTAATTAAACAGCTTAAAAAAATTTTCCTTATATTATTGTGTCTAACAGAAATGCCAATTAATAATAAAGATTAATATTAACATAATTTTGATAATATTTACTTTCAAATACAAATTTAGTAGATGTTCATATCACCATAAACTAATTTACATCAATATACTAATTATATCTTATAGAAAAATCTAACTTTATTGTTAATAGGAATGGCAACATAAATTTAATGTAATTAAAAATAAATTAATTATACCATATCAAAATTGAATTAATTTCAATACATTCTATTTAATTATGAATATAAATTAATAATGATTATCTCAATATTATTAATTTACTTACGTGTATTAATCATGTTAGGTATTAAATCAAAGTTAATTACAGTCATGTTGATACAAATTGTTTCCTTGTAAAAAAATACTGGTTTTATTATGAATGTAGTACAATAAAGTTTAATTCATTGAAATGAATTTAAAATGGTTATTGCACAATCGATTCAAATATAATTAAAGGTGCAAATCGATGAACAATGGGAGGACAGTGACAGTGATAATTACAGGTGATTACTTCAGGTATCAATGAATTCAATGAGTTTTTATTGATCATTTATCAAAAATTGGATTTAAAATTTATTGATGAATCATTTTACTAGTAAATTGCGATATTAATGTAATATATGATGAATAATTCACTTAATCACTTAATCCAAGCACGAATATCACGTTTCACTCAAATGAGAGAACGAATCCGGAGTTCTGACATCCGTCGACGATCAAGGATCAGGGACGCTGTCTCATATGCCAAGGTGTCGAAAATCAGATGTGCTGGTCACGTAATGAGATTTAAAGACAACCGTTGGACTAGAGCTGTTACTGATTGGATTCCACGGGATGTCAAGAGACCGCGTGGCCGCCCACCTACCAGATGGTCAGACTTCTTTGTCAAGATCATGAACGATCGGTTTGAGGCCCTCCATGTTCCCGGAGCGAAGAGATGCCATTGGGCTACACTAGCACGCGACAGGGACAAATGGAGACGTTACTGGCGCCCGCTCGAGCAAATCGACGACTAACGGGAAGTTAAGTGATAAGTGATAATCACTTAATCACTTAATCCCCGTTATTCATCGATTTATTCGAGCGGGTGCCAGTAACGTCTCCATTTATCCCGGTTGCGTGCTAGCGTAGCCCAATGGTATCTGTTCGTTTTAGGAACATGTAGAGCCTCAAACCGATCATTTAGGGTCTTGACGAAGAAGTCTGACCATCTTATAGGTGGGCGTCCACGTGATCTTTTGACATCCCGTGGAATCCAATCAGTAACAGCTCTAGTCCAACGGTCTCTCATTTGAGTGAATCGTGATATTCCAAGCATAGTTCTTTCATTCCTCTTTGAGAGACCCGAATAGCGTTCTCATCCTGTTTTCGTAGGGTCCAGGTCTCTGAGGCATATGTTAATGCAGGAAGAATAGTGGAATCAAAGAGATGTGCTCGTAGCTGGAGGTTCTTTGTCCTTTTAGTTATTTCTTCAATACTCTTGAAGGCATTCCAAGCCGCTCTCTTCCTCCTGCGCAACTCAGGTGCCAGGTCATTCATCATGTTGATTTCTCGACCTAGGTATATATAACTGTTGCATTCGGAGATGGTGGTTCCGTTGAGAGCGAATGGAGCATCATGATCAAGGCTGTTTCTCATAAACATTGTCTTCGTAAGATTCAGCTGTAGTCCTACCTTTCCACACTCACGGTCAAAGTCCGCCAGCATTTGTGCCGCATGGCTGATGTTTGGTGTTATTAGAACGATGTCATCAGCAAAGCGGAGGTGGTGTAGTTGTCGACCATCTATCTTCACTCCCATGTTTTCCCATTCTAGTCGTCGCATGATGTTTTCGATGGTGGCACTGAAGAGTTTTGGTGAAATGGTATCACCCTGCCGAACCCCTCTCTTGATAATGGATGATTACTTCTTTGTACAATGGTGAGATCTTGGTAGTGAATCCGCAATAGAGCTCACGAAGGATCCTGATGTATTGAGTTTGTACGCCCTGATTGGCTAGGGCTTCCATGACCGCTTCCGTCTCGACAGAATCAAAGGCCTTCTTTAAATCAATGAACGTTAGACAGAGCGGCATCTTGAACTCCTGAGAAACCTCAATGAGCTTAGTAATCATGTGGATTTGGTCGATGGTACTGAATCCTTTCTGGAATCCGGCTTGTTCACATGGTTGTCCTTCATCTAGTGTTCTGCTAATCCTATTCAGGATGACTCGAGTGAATAGTTTGTAGATGACAGACAATAGGTAGATTGGGCGATAGTTGCCAATGTCGTGGATGTCTCCTTTTTTGTATAGTAGTACAGTCTTGCTGGTTTTCCATTGGGATGGAACCTTGCATTCAGACAGGTAGCGTGTGAAGAGTCGAGCCAATGTATTGATGAATAATTAATAGATTGAAATAATATTATTTTTTAAAAATTATCAATTTGATAATTTTATTCTAATTAAGAATACTAATTGAGAGATTACATCAAATTTAATTATAATTTCCAATCTTAATAGATATTTATTGAATAAATAGATTCTTTGTTTTATTATGCATCTGTTCTGATTGAGGTTACTTGCAATTAAATTTGATTGAAACTATGAAATTATATATTAATTCATCAAAATTACATTGATTATTAATAAATTTATATATACGTGTTGATTATTTTCTAATATTTGAATTTATAGATAATTCATTGATAAACCATTTATTAGTAAATCATAATTTTTTTTTCCTTTTCTGGTATCAATTGCAGTTGATTCCAATCTCCTCTTCATTCTCCTCTGATTCCCCTTCTGCTTCTCTCTCCGGATCTCCCTTCATTCTCCTTCTAGTTCCCCCTCCTTCTCTTTCCGGTTTCCCCCGCCCACTCTTACAGCCTGGTTTATATAGAAATCATGTAGGGTGGGTATACAAAGGTGGGGTTGAACATTAACAAATCAACAAAGAGAGGTAAGGTCACTCCTCCAGGACATTAACTCAAGGACAAAATCTCATGAAGGAGATTACTCCAGATTACTAGGCGATCTGCTCAAGGGTGGGATTCCATTCAGGGTATGTTGCTTTCTTTCCCCAGCTAGTAATCCACTTATATAGTTGTAGTAAATTTACTTCTAATATATCTAGTAATGTCATTTGAGCACAGTTAGAGATATATATGAAGCATAAAGTTTGGCTCTTCCTGGGGACATCTCACTAGATATTCCAGGCCACAGCCCTCAGACCAGGTTAGTCATCCTAACTCCAGCAGGGTCCTTATTCAGTTACCTCTTTTGTTTTTTTTTATATTTATTTATTTTTTAATAGTGAGGCACCATGAGGTACAGTTGTAGACTTACACATTTCTGTGCTTGGGTTTCGATTATGCAATGATCAAACACCCATACCTCCACCAGTGCGCATTTCCCACCACCTCAGATCCCAGTATCCCCTCCCCCCCCCCAGTCCCTATCCCACCCTGCCTCTGTGGCAGGGCATTTCCCTCTCTCTCCTTTTGGGTGCCATGGTTGGCAAAAGAGGCATTGAGTGGCAACCATGCTTGGTCGACAGTCTACCCTCAGCATGCTCTCCCATCATGGGCGGATCCTCCCAACACCCTTCACCTGGTGTTCCCTTCTCTTTCTGAGCTCCCCCTTCCCCTAACATGTGTGGTTGTCCTCCGGGTCATTGAGTAAAATTCCTGGTACTAATCTCTGCCATACTTCGGTGTTAGTTTCCTATTTTGTTACTTTATGTTCCCCAGATGAATGCAATCTTTCTATGTCTATCCCTTTCTTTCTGAGTCATTTC